AGGTACCTACAAGAAGAGGATTTGAACAGTAAGATGAGTCTTCTGTCTCTACAGTTAGTCCTCCCATCTGCCGTGCCAGACTGTACGCATTAGAGTCACGCTTGGGGGAAAAACAAAACAAAAATAATCACGGAGGTAAGGTCTCCATGCAAATACAGGGAAAACGTCGCTGCTAGACACCTCTTGCTGCATTTGCAGAAGCCATAAAAATATACAGTGGAAAGGCAGACATCGACCCGTTTCAACAAATAAAAACATTTGGTGGCCACATGTCAGGGACCATGCACTGCATTTGATTGCTGTGCCAATGCTCCAAACCAGAAGACTTTAGCAAGTAGTCCTGGCTCTCAAGTTTTATCCTCAAACTGACTCTTTCTACCAAGCTGCTCTGCAAATCTGCTTTTTAATCTTCTGAGCAGGCAGGGGATGGGAGGGTGTGTATTTGTGTTTTTGGTTATTTTTCCTGAAAAAAACACAAAAAAGAACCCTCCCAAATAATTTTCCAACATCCAAAATGTAACAGATATCTTTTAAATCACAAAGAAAGATAGCTTTGAACTCTGGAAAGCACACTGTAATGCAATCATAAATAAGCTGTTAGCACACCCAACGGCATGCAGATAAATTTGGCTATTTCACTACCTTTTCAATGGCCATGGCAAATATGAGCAGCAAGAGGTATTTTTAGTTGCCATCCAGACATGCTGGACTCTCTTCCTGTAACACTGCCTTATCAAAAAGGATAAAAACCTTATCTTGCTACAGGAATCCTAATGGTGAAACACCTCCCTTCATCAACTCTGGGGAGACCTTACAGCAGCCTTGCAATATCTGAAGGGAGCTTACAGGAGAGATGGGGAGAGACTCTTTGTCAGGAAGTGTAGTGACAGGACAAGAGCTAACAGTTTTAAATTGGAAGAGGGGAGATTTAGATTAGATATGAGGAAGAAATTCTTTCCTGTGAGGGTGGTGAGACACTGGAACAGGTTGTCCAGAGAAGCTGTGGATGCCCCATCCCTGGAGGTGTTCAAGGCCAGGCTGGATGGGGCTTTGAGCAACCTGCTCTAGTGGGAGGTGTCCCTGCCCATGGCAGGGGGCTTGGAACTCGATGATCTTTAAGGTCCCTTCCAACTCTAACCATTCTGTGATTCTATGATCAACACTGGGTAGTGTTCACACTAGAAAGGACTTCTGATCCACTACAGTGTCCCTGCACGAGGAACAGTCCCAGGACCAGTAGGTTCCTACTCATGACTCCGAGACTGAATTTCTCGACGATGGTATCATATGAAATCAGTAGCTCTCAGAACATCTGACTTTAACAACTCTGGATCAGTTCTTAGCGGAAGAAATTCAGCTCCCAAGAGGCCCTGTAACAGCTTGCGACATTAAGAGTTATTTGGCCTAACACCTCTTTTTCACTTCAGTGGGTTTGTCAAGGTTGCTCCATGTGCTCTCCTTCAACTCTGCTGCTTCCCTCCAACAATGGATTCAGGCACACGCTCACTGCTCACCCTCCCTCAGACGGGATCTGTACATTCGACTACTTCGGGAAAAAAAAAAATAAAAAAGAAAAAATATTCAAGCATTATTTGCCTCAGGGCACTCTAACTAAAGATTTACAGACTTTGTGGGTTAGGTTTCAAGTTGCTTTAGCAAACAATTTCAAACCGTAGACATCTACCTGAGGATTAGGGGTCCTTTACGACACAGAACAGGAAACAAAAGCAGTGATTTGATTATTTGATTTTTTTTTTTTTTTTTTTTTTTTACAAGAAAACAGCACACACCCTTCTTTCTTCTTGAACTCTCAGAGGGGCATCACCCCTAAAATAGCGAAGGGTGTTTTGGGGGTGAGGGACCCCGTCTCTCCCCTTCGCTCTCAAGGATGGACTTGGTGGTGGGCTGCAGAGAGGAAGAGGCAGCCTGCCCTCCCACATCTTGAGGCAGGAAAACAGACTCGGCAGTCTGGGATATTTAATAGCCGGGGGAAGAATGCTTTGGTTTGGAGGAACAGCTTTTGGCTCGCTTAAGTTATAATATGGAACAGAACGCAGTAAAATAATTTTAACCCAGCTATTTCTGGCTTTGGCAAACGCGGCTCTACCTTGGAGAAACTATTTCTGAGTTGTGTTGTTTCAGTGTTTTATTCTGGTCTCGGCGCACCCCGTCTGCCCCAGCTGAGGTGCTAAGTAAAGGCTGAGCTGCACGCGAGTTTGACCAGCACCAGTCGTTACAGGCAGAGCTCGGAAGACTCCAGACATCCCAGATGAAAGAACCCACCACCGCTAACCACTGCTGGGTTCTGGATAAGCAACACCTGAGAAGAACTTGAGTTTTGCGCAGAAAATGACTACTCTTTCCCCAAAAGATGTCCTCGACAGCCAGCTCTCCCAGAGTGACTGACCACCACCAGTGGGAGTAACCAATACCAAGACAAGGAACATTATCTCCTCTCCCAGTTCACCACAGCAGGTGAAACCCAGGAGTTTGGGGATTATACTTGAAGAGGTCTTTGCACTGTGAAGACTGCAGACCTGCCTTGTCTGCATTATCATAAACTACGCCTCAACATGAATCTGAATTGAAGAACAAAGTCTTTCATTAACTAACACCAGATATCAGATGCGATCTTTTGTTGTTATTGCTGTTAATCAAGTTGTTGAGTTTTTAGGTTTGGGTTTGTTTCCACCCCACCCCCCCACTTTTTGGTATAGCATAAGAACTAGGATCAAATATTTGAGCTCCCACCAGCCAGTGGCTGCTGTACAACATGGAGGCTCCAGCTGGGAACAGACAGAAGTGGGACCTGACTAGGACACAATTTTCTCTTACCAAAAGCTTCCAGAACAGATGGGGTGAAAACTTTTGATGTTTTTGGGGTGGTTCCCCCCGCCCCAAATCTGACCTCATTCCCATTACAGAAAGCCCTCACCTTCAATGTTTAAGCTCAGGTCTTCTGATTTTATTTTTTTTTTAAGTCTCAGAGTCCAAAAAGCTCTGTATTGACAAACATAAAAAATGTTTACACAGAATTCATTAGCAAAGGGAAATAGTAACAGTTTACAAAGAGATTTTTGCTTGTTCTTTTAAATATATAGTAGCTAGTGTTTGTATGCTTTCATCTTCCTTTAATGTTCGGGGGAAGCTGGCACACAAAACCTTACCAAAACATAAGAACTTCAAGTTCATAAATATTTGGAAATCTGCCGCATCTTCAAAACTAATTGTTTAATGATTAGGACTCACCAAGTTCCACTCTCAGTCACATACACAGTACTGCATTTGACCAAGACTCACAAAACCTTGAGACCATGCCTCATTACTCTAAAAATACCTTTACTCATCTCATCAATGGAAACGCTTGGTCGTGGCTTTTCAATCCATCTGGATTTAAAGAGTAGAGAAACACAACAGACTCTCTGAAAGGCAAACCTCATTTCATAGGGAAATAAATATTTACATTTTCCTTCCACATTATGGAATTCTTAACATCCTGTTTATCAATACCTTCAGGTTTTTAAATTACTCGATTTACAATAGAACGTTTACTCCAAGGGGTAAGTTCAAAAGTCACTTTAAAATGAGAACAGCTTTCACATATCAGAAACAAAGTATAGCCACACAAATTAGATGGGGAAGGGGAGGGGGGAAGCTGAACATATGGTTTTTCCACTACAGAAAACGCTTTACACTTCCATCCCTTTGCTAACCCTCCCATGTGCTACTGGCAGGCAGAGAGGGAACCTTTTGTAGGACAACCAGCCAGTATCAAATGAAAATTAACAATAATCGGAAAAAAATCCCCAAATCCTTAAAATAGGTTTTTCAAAGACAACATTACATCACCTTAATGATTGAAACTATTTAAAGTAAGCTTTGCCTACTGAAAGAAAGCAAGGTAAGGAACATGTACACTCGAGAGGAATGCTTTAATCACCTAAACTCACAGCTAGCTCTGACAAAATTGACACTTGAGGAAGCCAGGACTGCTTTAATTAGCTACATTCACGGATGGCTCTTAGAGAATTGACACTTGTGGAAGTCAGCTGTGATACCTTCGCCTACGGTGCTCTCGGTTCAAAATTCTCAATGGATTATAAGCACTAGATGTCATCATTTTACAGAAGAAAACAAAGAAGCCTGGAGTCGGGTCTTGAGAAGATGAGGGGGGGGTAAAAAGTAACAGACACCTTTCTCTGAACATTCACCCTTCTGAAAGTTACTGGGGCAGCATTTCTGACAATGGCAGCTCCATCTCAAGCGAACGGGTGCAAAGAAATAAGCTTAATATATTGAACCACATGTAAACCAGCACGCTAAAGCTCCTCTTTAAAAGCACACTTTAAAAGCTGACTCCAAGCCTGGCTGCTTGATATTTCTAACATTTCTCCTAACACCTTCCACGCCATCAGCCACCCTGACTGTCCTCACACACACTCACACACACACACTCAGGTACAACTATGAGCAACTCCTTTCCCCACACACGAACACACACGGTGACTTTGTGCAAGGACAGGGAAAGGCGAGATATTCACAGCGAGCCCTGCGCCCGGCCAGACACTCCTGTTTAAAACCAGGAGCGAGAGAAAATGACTCTTAATTTCAGGTTGCTCTCTGTCCCGAAACTCTTTCGAGACAGGAAGCCGAGGAGCGCCTTTAATTCGGGCTGTCTCAGAGGCACCGCTCGGAGAAGTCATTTACGAGACGGCAAGAAATTACGAGCCAGCCTGTAATTGGGCTTTCTGGGGAGGGGGCCGCCGGAGGAACCGCGGAGACGGCTCTCTTTCAGCGATACCTTCTAAAAATAGCAGCCCGCAGCTGCTGACAAAGAAACCAAAGTTTGGGAGCCGGCGCTCCCGCCCGGCAACCGGCGACGGCGGGGGGGGGGGGGGGGGGGAGACACCCCCCCACACACACACCTGGGTGCGGGGTGGCAAAGGGGGTGACACAGACAGACAGACAGACGGACGGAGGGGGACCGAGGGACGCCTCACCTCTACCCATCGCCGGGCTTCGGCGAAGGCCGCCTGGCAGTCGCACTCCACGTCCTCTCTCCCCTCCATGGCCGGCAGCGAGTGAGGGATGGAGACGGGGGGTGGGTGTCAAGCAGCCGGTCCTCCGGCGGGGTGGGGGCGCGGGGAGCAACCGCTGTCATTCAGCTGCCTCCTTTTAACGCTCCCCGCGCCGTCTCCTCCCTCCCTCCTTCCCTCCCTCCCTTCTCCGCCTCCTCCCCCTGCCGGGAGGGAGCTCGCTGGGGCTCCGCGACCGCAAAAATTTGGAGGCTGTAAAGCAACGCGCACACCCCCCCCGCCCCCCCCACCTTTTCCCCGGGAGGGGCTG